ATATTGCCCTTTTGCTTTACAAATCTTTCAATGTCAAAATATTTCGATATTGCATACCTGATGATATTTTTGAATGGAGAGATGATGAATTTTTTCATGCAATGATTTCTGATAAATAATAATTAGAATTGGATAAATTATATCAAGATGGTGAATGGTTTTAATAAACGGACGGGTGAAAATCTTACCTATAATTGCATAGAATTTGAAGTTCTTGGGTAAATTGTCAATTAATCAATAAGATGAGATCATTGTTAAATTGTAAAGAAATATATTTGTATTTTTTAGATCCGAGGTGGATGAGGGTACAATCTTTATTGTTAGAACACTTTAATATTACAGCGACAATCCTGCACCGGAAAGGACAGAAGATGTTATCTTTAATATAAGTGCAATTCTTACTTTTGGAATTAGTGACATTCAGAGCTCAAATAAAGACGATAATATATAGTTTGTCGATTGTGATTTTATTAACTATTAAATAAAAGAAATACTCTTGTGATAATTTGCTATAGAATTTATATACTTTCATATGTCATAATAAATTTATTATAAAACAGCTTTTTGGTCAGAATTAAATATTTTTAAAGTAAAAAAAATTACTATGTTAAATAATTTTCAAGTAAAAATACTTGACAAAAAAAAAAATTCATATTATTTAATACCGGAAATAAGTAAAAAATTGGTACCAAGAAACATAAATTAATTTAATATTAATCTGAGGTTTTTTAAAAATTCTATGTATACTACGTACACTACATTATATCATTAGCATTAGTTTTATTTACTTAATTATCAGTTTTCGAAATTTGCACTATTTTATTAGAATATTTTATGTAGTGTATAGAAAGGGTTCAAATTAAAATCAACCAATCGGTAGTCATGTGAAAATCGGACAAATTTCATTGGTTAAAAAAAATTGATTTACGTGATGTTACACGAAACCGATGTACGGTAATTCACGCAAGACATCATAGTTATATTTACAAGTGAAATCTCTTTTTTTTATGAGAAATCTTACAGTTATTATAAGAGAAAATGTGCAACCTATTTTCACTCGGATGCCCAAATTTAGATCATGATGGGTAACAAATTTGCATTTACGGTTCGGAACTATAATAAAGTGATTAGCCTTAGAGATGGGCAATTTAATAATTTATGTAAGCAATATGTATTTTTTAACCCTTACCTATTCTTACATATTTTTATTAATTATTGCTTATTATGACTGATTATTACTTATTACAATTCACAAATGCAACTTTTGAAAGACATGACTCTGAGGTTTAAAATCATGGTTGCATTTGCAAATATCAGTTTTTCTTACTTATTATTACTTACTATGTAAATAATAATATTGAATGTAATATTAAGTAATATTACATATAAAAAATTGCCCATCCCTAATTATCCTCGACCGCGCCCTCTGAATCCAGCCCGACCACGACCACGGCCACGACTTCCAAAGTTGCCGCGACCGCCACGGAATCCTCCATTGCCGCCACGGAATCCTGCATTGCCAAAACCTCGACCTCTGAAATTTCCACGACCTCTACTTCGGACTATATTAAAATTTATTATTAGAATTTATATTAGGTAAATATCAAGATTAAACTTAATCGATAATAAATTACCATTCGATGCTTTCTTTTGGACTTTGTCAATTTTTAAAAAAAATAAGCATTGGATTAAAAACTTAAATTGTTATAAAAGCAGGGTCAATCATTTTGAAATATTTACCTTTATTCTTAGGTGCAGGTGGTTTAGGTAAAAATCTTTCAAGTGGTAATAATTTATCTTCACCAATAAAAACTTTATCATTTAGTTTAAATGATGTCGCCACAATACCTTCTTGAAGTTTGACTGTAAAGTAGACTTTATTCATAGGACCAAGAATTTCATCTACTTTGCCAATCGATTGCTTATTTTCCAAATATATTGGAGCATTGAAATACGGTATTTTTTTATTTGTCGAAAGGCAAACCATATCACCTTCAGAAGCGTGAAGGAAAGTACCCATCTCTTAAAACCGAACAAAAATCCATTAAAAACCAAAATTAATATTAATTAAAACTTAAGTGATAAAATTAATTTTACCTATAACTTTGTCTGGAGGTCCTGTTGACTGCGAAAAAGAGTTACGACCTATTAAAGGTATTAATCATCAAATACAAAGTATATTTGATATATAAAAACCAACCAAGTTTATTATAATTACCACTCGGTCTTGCACCATAACCACGACCACCTCCACCCCGTTGTCCTCGTCGACCATGAAACATAACGATAATTATTTAATTTTCGAGATTAACAAAAGATAATCTACCTTTTATATAATTTAAGGATTACGTAATAAAATTTTTTCGAATTCATGTGACAACCAAAATTTTTTTTTTATATAATGAAATAAATGTACTTAGTAAAATATTACAAAGTTAATCAATCGATAATATGCCAGGTTTCGATAATATTAGACAATTGCCACAATCAATAGAAGAAATTGATTATTCTGATATTGAAGAAAAATATCAAGTTCCTTTTGAAGATGGATTTGATACGATTATTGTAGTGGACAACGTACCAATTGTCGATGAAAGTAAAAAAGACAAACTATTGAAATTTATTAGAAAAATTTTTAAGAATGCTGGTGATATCAAAGAGGAAGGAATCCATATGCCAATGGACCCTGATCCTAAAACTGAAGATCCTATTTCAAAAGGGTAAATATCGAATAAATAATATTTTTGTCAAGTTTCAATAATCTAAATTTTGAACTACTTTACAGGTTTCTTTTCATCGAATTCGAAACACCTGAACAAGCAACGATGGCCATAAAACAATATGATCGTTATCCTATGGATAAAACTCATTATCTTGCAGTGAACCGATTCACTGATATTGAGAAATATTCACAGATCGAAGAAGAGTATAAAGAACCAGAAGAAGAAAAATTCATAGAAAAAGTATACCATCAAATAAATTGATTTTATTCATAATTTCAAATTTTAATATATATATTATTTATTAGGAACATTTGAGAAGTTGGCTCACTGATCCTCAAGCTCGTGATCAATTTGTACTTTATCGTGGTGATGATGTATCCATATTTTGGAACAAAAAAACAGAACCACCAGAAGAAGCCCATAAGAGAGTAGTAAGTATATTATCATATTATATCAAAATTATTTTCTTTGTCAAAATTACATATATATATATATTATATTTTTATCTGATAGAATTGGACAGAAACATATGTCCAATGGTCTCCTCTGGGTACTTATCTTGCGACGTTTCATCGCCAAGGTATCGCATTATGGGGTGGGCCAAGCTGGAATAAAATAATTCGATTTGTACACTCAGGTGTCAAACTTATAGATTTTTCACCTAATGAAAAATATCTTGTTACGTGGAGTAATGAACCGATTACTCTTGGACCTAACGGAGGAGCGGGCACGCCTTTTGGTCCTGATGATGAGGGACGTCAAATAATTGTTTGGGATGTTCATGGTGGTAATCTCCTTCGATCATTCTATTCGACTACATTATCTTCTGATGGGACTCCTGCCAAAATTACTTGGCCAATGTTTAAGTGGTCGTCATCTGACAAATACTTTGCTAGAGTAACACAAGGTCAACAAGGGCAACAAGGACAACAAATACTTTCAGTATATGAGACACCTGGGATGGGGTTAGTGGGTAATAAAAGTATCAAAATCGAAGGTTTAGTTGATTTTGAATGGGCCCCTTCTTCTGATAAAGAAAAAGAAAAGGATAAAAGTTTAGGAGACAAGAAGCAAAGAGAGGAACTCCTTAGTTATTGGACACCAGAAATAGGAAACCAACCTGCTCGTGTGACCTTATTGAATATTCCATCTAAAGAAATTGTAAGAACAAGGAATTTGGTTAATGTTTCTGATGTATGCTATTAGCTTTCTTATTCTTATTAATAATTCATTATATTTATGTAAAGAGAATTATCGAACACACATTAATTTTGTGAAATAATTTTTTTAGTGCAAAATGCATTGGCAATCAAATGGGGACTTTTTGTGTGTCAAAGTTGATCGACATACAAAAACCAAAAAGTCAACTTTCTCTAATCTTGAAATATTTAGAGTCCGTGAAAAAGATATACCCG